CACATGCATGTATACTCATATGAAATGATTCACTTATTTACATATGATCATCTTGACAGTAAGACTGGAAAGTTTTCACTCGTTTCCTCCTTCCACAGAGGTTTGATTGATTCCCAAACTAGCAGCTGTGATGCTCCGAAATGTCTCCTTGGGATTGATAATAAACATTTTCCTTTAAAGGTTCAGGTTGATAGTTTACAGATCAAAGGAGTCAGTGGTAGAAGGTTGTACATGAATACTGATTCTAAGTTTGTGATTGCTTTTGACTAAAGCCCTGGATACTGGACTATACTACATTCATCTCACTGTTTTACTGCCCAGAAACCAAGGTATTTAAGGACATACAAAAGAGTCCAATGACTAGATTTATTTCATTATGGGCAGACAGTAAGATAAAGTGAAGATAAGCTTTGAATATTATGAATTGCTATACGATGCTCAGAAATGCAGGTTCAATTTCATCCACCCAGTTTGAAGACAGAATATTGTATGAGGCTTGGTTTTCATGGAACATGTTGTTTCCCTTCTTCTCAAATTACAATTCAGTGGAATTTATCATGATGTTTGGGAATATCTGTTATTTTTCTAGACATACTTAGCTTAGAAGTGGTAGAAGTCAAATGACGAGGGAAAATGGTTGACTAGTTGGAGACTGGAGTCCTGGTGTAGTGCTATAGGATAAACACTGGTCTGCTTACTGCAATGTCTGCAGTTCAGACCCAGGAGCCACTCCTCAGAAACCCTATACGGGGTCTCTATGAGTTGGAACAGACTAGACAACACTTAAGAACAGCTAGAAACTACTTTTTGATCACAAGACAAATTACTCAGATTACTCTTATTTGCCTTCCCTTTCAGTTTTCAAAACGAGAGTCTAGTTTTTCTTGGCTTAAAGACTTATGACTGTATTTCTTTCATCTTTGATAGCAACACCTCTAAGAAGCAAACCATTTTTAAATGAGAAGAAGGACGTGAACCTAAAGGATTGGTGATGGTCTGAGGGAAAAACAAATTTATTGACTTGAGGGTTAAAGAATGAGAATAAAAAACAAATGATATAAAAGTTAGAAATGGTGAGAGTGATGTTTCAATGTTACTATTTTAGTAACCCCACTCATACCCTAGCATAAATCAAATCAAATTATCCTGCAGTGAAAATTAAATCATAATGTACTAAAACCAATTTGTATGCGTTTTGATATAGAAAACCACTTAAATTTGTGGCTAATAATTTGATTTCTAACTTAGATCTTTGAACTCTGTAAATGTATTCAAAGTTGGACTTAAATTGTGTAATAATAAAGTGAGTTTTAGTGATTAACTCTGTAAAGGAAATATGAACAAGTAAGTTATTAATATTTTAAACATACTGCAAAATAATGCACATTTGACCCAGAAAAACATTTCTTCTTTTTCAGTTCTTGTAGAGTGGAAAGGAGCTCTGGTTGTACTGCACAGCCAATCCCCAAACTGACAGTTGAAATTCACTAGTCTCTCTAGGGAAGAAGAAAGAGGCTTTCTGCTCTTGTGAAGATTTATAACCTCAAAACTTGACACAGGGTTGCTAGGTGTCAGACATGATGTGATGGCAGTGGGTTTAGTTTGGTTTGGATTTTTTCTGTGCAGTGGATAGGAGGATCGGATCTCTGGTAGTGCAGTAGTCAAGTGTTTGGTTGCTAACCGAAAGGTCAGTGGTTTAAACCCACCAGTCACTCTATAGGAGAGACATTGACACTTGGCTTCCATAAAGATGTACGCTGTAGGGTTTATATGTACTATAGAGTCGCTGTGAATTAGAATTGACTTGATGGCAATGAATTTTAGACTATGCTTTTCTTATTTTTTTTTTTTTAAATGTCATACTGGTAAACAGATACATTACTAAAATGCAACAGAAATATGGAAACATACTTGGATAAAAAATAATGCTTAGTTTTCACTCCATGTAGTTTTTCTTTCTGTATGGAAATAATGAAGACACGGAACTAACATTTTTCACAGGTATCATTGCGAACGTCACAGTTATGAGAAACTGTTCAATGTATTAAAGGCAGACGAAGGAAATAATGGTGATCCAATTTGACTCATTTACGATAAATTGTCACAAATTATTAAAGAAATGTAAATATGTCAGAATCCACTAGCTGACAATGGGCTAACTGTAATAATTTTTTTGTACCTATGTATGCACATGAGTCGGTTGGATGGCAGTGAGGTTTCTATATGTACAAAGGGGTGCAAAAACTTTGTGGATATATGGAAGGAAAGGACCATGGAATTTTACCACACACTTTTTGAAGCCAACTCATATACTTCTCAATCTGTTAATGGCATAGGTAACAGCAACCTAACCCTAGTATGTTCACTGCACACATACATTATAAATTTAGCAAGCTCAAAGGACAGGGACTCTATATTTTCATTTGTAGCATGTAGAATACCCTACTACATTTTAAGTGCTCAATACCCATGTTTTTATTCTCTTCTCAGGCCATCAGTCACTTTGGCAATGCTTGCAAACATTAATGCAGTAGAAAGCAATTAAGTGGCACTATATGAATGTTCAGAAGAAATATTCATCCTGCCATCTGATTGGAAATATTGTTAAGTGCTACTGAGTACAGTCCAACTCAAAGTGACTATGACTGTAGGGTTTCTGAGGAGTTGTTGGTGAGTTTAAATCACTGACCTTGTGGTTCAAACAGATCACGTGGTCCAGTGTTTATCCTACAGCACTATACCAGGATAGTAAACACAATTCCATGGAAATTTTACATTGCAAAGTGACACCAAAAGATAACTTCTCCAGCAAATATTAAAGCAACACAGGTTGAACATGTTAATAAAGGTGACCTTTCTTCATGTCATCATCAGATCTTAGTCTTGCACAGGGTACCAGAGAAACAAATGTGTACCTAACTTAGTAAATCAGTCTATGTCTATGAGGAAAAGACAAATGCTCTTCAGTCTGAAACATAATTGGCATTCTGACAGATCAGCATGGGAGGAACAGCATTCTCTTCTGTTGCTATTTGTTGTGTGTTATTTCATATTCATATCACAGTGATGTTCTTGGTATTGTGACAAGCAGCCCTGGGGTGGTGCTGCAGGTTAATGTGCTAGACTGGCAGGTCAGTGCTTCAAGCTCACCAGCTGCTTCTTGGAAATCCTGTACAGGGTCGCTATGAGTCAGAACCGACTTGATGGCACTTTACAACAGTAATCTTTTCATTGTACTCTTGGTGTGATTCTGTAGGATCAACACTGGACTGTGAAATGCAAGGTTGTTGGTTCACACCCACCAGCTGTTCATTGGAAATGCTATACAGGGTTGCTATGCACTAACAACAACAACAACAACAACAACAACATCTTTTCATTGGTCTGTTGACTCCTCCATGCCACCTCTACCCTGTCAAATGTAGTTAATTCATATTTATTACTTCTTCCAGCAATACCTTATTAGGAAGTCTTACTGTCCCTTGGGTGTGCTAGTGGCCCATCCGCTAAATGCTCTTAAAATATTGTAGTTACAAAGAACTAGGTTGACTTGCTGAAAGAATTTTCTCTTTCATTATATTTACCTTATGATACTCTAAAAGTCAATTTGCATTTGTAAATCTTCCACAATTCAATGAAATCATGGATACAGGGACAGTTCGTACTTAATATTTTTGTCTCCAGTGTCTCTAGCAAGATACCTGGTAACATATAAGGTAAAAAACATATTTTAATAAATAAATAGGTGAATAAATGAATTATACCTATACATGACATTCAGAATTATTATAGTTTCTGTATAGAACTGAGCTTTCTACAGGTTTCTTGACTGTAATCTTTACTGAAGGTGCTGTTGAGAGGTTTCAAAACATCAATTTTCAGATTACTAGTGGCGTGTCATCAAGTCAGGTCTAACTCATAGTGACCTGCATAGGGTTTCTGACATTGTAAATCTTTATGAGAACACCTCATCTTTCTCTTGCTGAGCAGTTGGTGGGTTCAAACTGCTGACCTTGCAGTTAGCTACCCAACTTATAACCCACTATACTACCAGGTTTCCTTATGTTACTGTTGTTGTTAAGTGCCACCGAGTTGGTTCTGACTCATAGTGACCCTGTATAGGGTTTCCAAGGAGCAGTTGGTGAGTTTGAATTACTGACCCTGTAGTTCAAACAACCTTGCAGCCCATTGTTTACCCTACACCACACCAAGTTACTAGTTAAACACAAACCTTTGTGCTACTCAGTGATCTATATTGTATTATCATCTGCCTCAATTCCTGTCTTCTACTGATTTTTCACTTTGCTTAATCCATTGGGCAAGGAGACTACATCTCACAAAATTATTGATTTTTTTTTTTCCCTTTCCTTTTCCTGACCTTAGTCCATGGAGGGAAGAAGAAGAGTTCTGATTTTTACACTGGCTGGTAAGGTTTCCAAGCATCACAGAGTTAATATATAACCCTCAGACACTTGTAAATTTTTTCTTATATACTCTCCAGTTATGAATAGGAATTTATTCTAAGGATACATTTAAAGCAATCTCATAAATGCATATATACCAGGCTGGAATAAGAACAAGAATAAGGCATCTTTATAAATGAGAAAATTGACTTAAGATCTTTACACTGAAATTTGAGATTTCAAATCCATTAAAAATAATTTCATATTTCCTAAAATAATTATAATAAAGCCTGAAAATACTGAAAAAAAAAATAAACAGTTGTTAATTATAATTAAGAATAAAAATTTCATCAACTTTTCCATTGGGTGTGTGGTAAGCACTAGGGAATAATAGGTGATCAATAAAACTGTGTTGAATGAATCAACAAATTAAGGAATGCATAATACCAAATAAGCAAAAGAACTTATTTCTGACACTCAAAATAACTGGTTGTCTCACCATTAAATTGTGTTATAGAATTTTAAATGGGGGTGGAGTATGTTGGAAACAATGATCATACCTGTAATTAATCTTCTCCTTTTTTACTCTAGGAAAACACACATGAAATTTAAGCTATTTAATGATCACACAAGCCTGATCATGCTAATGTTGAACCAAACAGACTTTACCCCAGCCTCATTCATTCTGAATGGAGTCCCAGGACTGGAGGACATGCACATCTGGATTTCCTTTCCTTTCTGCTCTATGTATGTTGTGGCTATGGTAGGCAATTGTGGACTCCTCTATCTTATCCGCTATGAAGATTCCCTGCATAGGCCTATGTACTACTTCTTGGCGATGCTTTCTCTAACTGATCTTGTCATGTGCTCTAGTACAATACCTAAAGCTCTCGTCATTTTCTGGTTCCATCTTAAGGAAATCAGCTTTGATGAATGCCTGGTCCAGATGTTCTTCATTCACACTTTCACTGGGATGGAGTCTGGGGTGCTCATGCTTATGGCTTTGGACCGCTACGTGGCTATCTGCTACCCCTTGCGTTACTCAACTATCCTCACCAATCCTGTTATTGCAAAGGTTGGGCTTACTACCTTTCTGAGAGCTGTAATACTCATTATTCCCTTCACTTTCCTCACTAAACGCCTACCCTATTGCAAAGGCAACATAATTCCTCATACCTACTGTGACCACATGTCTGTGGCCAAATTATCCTGTGGAAATGTCAAGGTGAATGCCATCTATGGTCTGATGGTTGCCCTACTAATTGGGGGTTTTGACATCTTGTGCATCACCATCTCCTACACCATGATCCTCCGCGCTGTGGTCAGTCTGTCATCTACAGATGCTCAGCAAAAGGCCTTTAGCACCTGCACTGCTCACATCTGTGCCATTGTGTTCTCCTACAGTCCAGCTTTCTTCTCCTTCTTTTCCCACCGTTTTGGGGGCCACACAATTCCTCCATCATGCCACATCATTGTGGCCAATATTTATCTACTCCTACCTCCCACTATGAACCCTGTAGTCTATGGGGTGAAAACCAAGCAGATACGAGATTGTGTCCTAAGGATTCTTTCATGTTCTAAGGACACAAAATCACAGAGCATATGAATGGACATTTGCCAGAAATAAGAAAACAGAATAAAATGAAGAAAAAAATAAAAAAGAAGAAAAGGATTACTTCTATTTAGTCGGGACTGAAAAAACATTTCTGGGGTACTCTTTGCCATGACAAAAAGGTGTGTTAAATAAAATAGTTCAAATAAATTTCTAGGGAATCTTAGCATCACTGAAATGTACAGTGCACTATGAGTTTTTCATCCATATGATCACTAACCCTAAAAAAAATGAATAAGTTAGTTTTCCTTGGAAAGGTGAATATTGCTGAAGGAGATAATCTGTGGCCTCTTGTCCTGCTCTGGATTCTGTTTTATCAAAGTGAAGTTATGATTATGATTTCCAGATTGATCATAAATTGTTACCTTCCTCTAGAAAATGTGTGCTGTATTTTTCTCATTATTACCAAAATACCTCTGTTTTTTTAAAGACCTCTGAAGAACAGACTAGAAAGCATCCCATGAAGTATTCAATATAATGAAGTGTATGTTTCTGAATATCTTACATAATCATATTTGAATAGGTCTCTTCTAGTTGCACAATATGCATAATGTTTTCATAGAGGGTAACTGAATACCCAATTTCCATGAAAAGAGCATTTAAAAGCACACAGTATAGAGAGGAGAGATCAATTTCTTAGCTAAATCTAAGAAACTATATATGGGCATATATGTGAGAATAACATTACTGTTAAGTGTCATAGAGTTGGTTTGGATTCATAGTGACCCTGTGTAGAGTTTCCAAGGAGCAGCTGGTGAGCTTGAACCACCGACCTTGCAGTTCAAACTGACTTTGCAGTCCAGCGCATTAACCCACAGCGCCACACCAAGACTTTGATAATAGAATAGAGAAGAGCAAAATGTACTAATATCATCTCATTTCCAATTGTGAAAATAAAAAAGAAAATTGAATATTTCTTTTTCTAATATTTAAATTTCTTTTAATTTAATAAGCAAGTGAGAAATTGAAAGAAACTAATAGTTTTATATCATTGTCTCATGAACTAAGTCAATTGTCTGTAAACGTAAACTCCGTCATAAGTGATTCTTATTTCTGTTTGCCCAGTGGATATTAATACACAGGACTTCTCCCCATTCACTTGTAGGATGCTCTTTGAATTAAAATTTGTCATAAGCCATCTTTACTATCTCTATTTTAAACTATAGGGAGACTTCAAACATTTCATGGAAAAATGCCACAGTCTTTGAATTCTACTTTTCTACAAACTTTCTGAAGTCCCTTCATACTACACCTTTCATCACCACACCCCTAAAATATTGTTGTTGGATGCTGTTGGTTCCAACTCATAGCAACCCGGTATAGGGTTTCCATGGCTGCAAATCCCTGGGAGCACAAAACCTTATCTTGCTCACACAGATAGAATCACTGGATGATTCGCAATGCTAACCTTGTGGTTAGCAGTCCTATCTACTAAGCCACTCAGGCTCTTGAAACATAATTACCCTTTATGTATCACAGCATTTCTTGGCTCACCTTGGCACCAGACTTTTAAAACAAGTTGTGAAAATTCTTTCCTATTTTTTTGGATATGAAATCCCTATTCCTCTAGTTTCTCTTTTGCCTATGTCATCATTCACCTAAAATCGCTTTCGTCAGTTTTGTCAAGTGCCGCTATGCTAAAAACTCAAATAGGCAATAGGCCTCTTCCTGTGCTCATCAAGCACTGCTGCCTTCGCATTCCATTCAATATATCTCATCTCTTGAAATTCTCTCATTTATTCACTTCAGAAACATTCCACATTTTCATAATTTGTCGCTCTTGGTGCAAACTTCTTTAAAGCCTCATTGTCTAGATCTTCCTCCTCCCTCCCCAATCACCCCACCCCCTGCCAGATTTTCACATATATGTCATACCATTGGTCTGAACTCCCCCCTTGCCCCTCCAGGTTAGTGTCTTCCTAATATTCTCCTTCATTGTCATGGTATCGAGTATTATCTGTTCAGTAATGATTCCTATAATGAAGTTTTGATTCAGAGATCTGGTTTCTACATACTCATTTCCGTGGCACACTTGCTGCTTCTGACAGTGGATGGCTTCATTTTTTTAGCCCTTCATCCTTCAGCTCCACCTACTTTTATCTCAATTTTTGGACATAGTTGGCTTTGAGAACATATGCTATTATTTAGTGTTTTTATGTGTATTGATTTGCATACCTTTTATTGTATGAAAGAATGCATCTGTTCAGTCCTTTTTCATCAACGCTTTATTTTCAGATGAGTTTATGCCGAATTTATATTTCATTTTTATTTATTTTAACTAATGCATTTCTCTTGTTTCAAAATATGTAATTTGGAGATACACAGTTTCGATTAAAAAATCGTTAGTTATTTCCATATTACCATGCTTATTACAATAGTGGGGCAAAACTTTCCACTTCTAATACTGCAATCAAAGTTTGCCAGAATTATCTAATGAATAATACACCTCATACTATGATCAGTTAGTTTTTCTATTTTGTTAACATATCTTTAGCATTAAATAGAGTCAATAAACTCATGGGAATAAATTAGAGAGATTGGGTTGAAATACAATTCATTATTTAGTAGCTAATTGTCTGGTTGTATCAGGAAGCATGGTGGCTCCAAAGAAGAAGCACTGGAGCGTGAATCATAAAGTTGGCAGTTCGGATCCACCACTTGCTAAGTGGGAGAATGATGAGGTTTTCTGCTCCTGCAAGAGATTTAAAAACCTGGGAAACACTAATAGGATCACTATGATTTGAAATCAACTCCACAGGCACTTAAGAAGAACAGCAATAATGATGGTTGCATCACTAACCATCAGTTTACTTATCATGGAAAAAGGAATACTAAATCTTTTTTTTTAAGGCCTTTATTCTTCTTGGATCAACTATCAACACTCACGGAAACAGCAGTCAAGAGATCAGACGACGTATTGCATTAGGCAAATCTTCTGCACAGGAACTTTTTAAAGTGCTGAAGAGCAAAGATGTCAGCTTGAGGACTAAGGTGTGCCTGACCCAAGCCATGGTATTTTCAATAACCTCATATGGATGCGAAAGCTGGACAGTGAATAAGGAAGATCGTAGAAGAGTTGATGCTTTTGACTTGTGGTGTTGGAGGAGAATATTGAAAGTGCCATGGGCTGCCAAAAGAACCAATCGGTACATTTTGGAAGAAGTGCAGCCAGAGGGCTCCTTAGAGGCCAAGATGGCCAAACTTTGTCTCTCATACTTTGGACATATTGTCAGGAGGGAACAGTCACTGGAGAAGGATATCATGTTTGGTAAGGTGGAGGGTCAGAGAAAAAGAGGAAGACCCCCACGAGATGGATTGGCCAGGTAGCAGCATCGATGGACTCAAGTGTGGCAACAGTAGTGAGGTTGGCCCAGGATCAGACAAGGTTTCGCTCTGATGTGCATAAGGTCGCTATGAGTTGGTGCTAACTTGATGGCACCTAACAACAAAAACAATAAGTAAATGAAAGTAAGATATTTTTCTAGAGATTTGAAACATAATTTGTTGTTGTTGTTATGTGCCGTGGAGTTGGTTCAGACTCATAGCGACCCTGCACAGGGTTTCTGAGGCTGGAAATCTTTACGGGAGCAGAAAGTCTCATCTTTCTCCCACGGAATAGCTGGTAGTTTTGAACTGCTGACCTTGTGGCTCACAGCCCGATTTGTAACCACTACGCTACCAGAGCTCCTTGAACATAACAGCTACTTACTAATAGTTGCTGTTGTTAGGTGCTCTTGAGTCTTAAGAATGGATGAAACTCAACAGAGTGATCTCAACAGAATGAAACACTGCCCATCCCGCGCCATCCTTACAATTGTTAAGCTTGAGCCCACTGCTGGTGTCACTTAATAACGGTAGCTATTATTATTGCAAAGGAACCCTTGTAGCATAGTGAGTTACTCATGGGGCTGCTAACCATAAGGTCAGCAGTTCGAATCTATCATCCCTTCTGTGGGAGAAAAATAAGGCTTTCTGCTCCCCCAAAGATATATAGCCTTGAACACCTTGCACAGAGTCACTGTGCATCAGAACTGATGCAATAGCACATCACCACCATTATTATAACCAAGAACCCTGGTGACACAGTAGTTAAGCCCTTGGCGCTTACTGAAATGTTGGGAGTTCAAACCCCCATTGGTAATATTTAGCTAAGAAAATGAGGAAAGAAAACATCTACTGGATCACTGCTGCTTATTTATTAGTGTATCACACAAGATCAAGAATAAGTCCCAGCCTCAAAAGGACTAGCAATAGAGTGCACATATAACTATATTACCATTAAAGCACTTGATTATTTAAAAAGGACTTTAAGGAATATTTCATATTCACTCACAACTCTAAAATTGTGAAAGGAATTTTTTTTTTTTTTTTCAGAAAACAACAACAACAAAAAAACAAAGGGATTATGTTATGACTAGCTCTATCCCTGCCTGCTACCATACCTGTCACGTGATGAGTTCCTAACAGACATTTTCCTACTGCATTTTAAGTATCTTCCATCTTAGGACCTAGTCTGCTGTATTGCAATTTTCTGTTCTTCCCTCCTTCCCCCCACTTTTCAATGTCCCTCACAAGAGTTTGTGGACACTGAAGATATTTGTATTATGACTCTTCTATCCCCAGACATCTATAAATGCATGAATTCTATATGTGAAACAACTTAAGCATGGGAGCAAAAATGAATTTTATTTATTAAAACCTGTTATTGTTGTTGTTAAGTGCTGTTGACTAGGTTCCATCTCATAGAAATGGGTTTCCTAGGAGTGGACTGTGAGTTTTAACTGTCAACCTTGTGGTTCAAATCATCCTTGTGGTCCAGTACATTATCCTACAGTACCACACCAGGACTCCTAATAGATAGCAGTTCTGAAACTTAGTTCAGGTCTTCTGATTTAAGTTCAATTTTCAATATTCAACTACTTCATCTCATAACATTTTTTTATCTGTTAAATATCATCCAGCTAAACTTTTCTTGTCTTTAGTTTCTTCTACTTCCTGTCCTTTACCCTTT